GCCGCCGGCCAGCTGCTGGCGGACGCGGGCGACGGCGCCGAGGTCGACCTGCTGGGCACCACACCGCCACGCGCGCGCATCCGCGACAAGGAGAAGCGCAGGTACTGCGCGATTCTACCCGAACCGGTATCGTCTCATATAACACATACATATATCTTACGAGTAACACGTACAATAGCTCGTCTATCATCGGAGCTCATCAATATCTATCATTAATTAATGTAATAAGTTTTTTTTTATATATCATAAGGTGGCAAATAAGCAAACGGCTACCTAAAATTGCTGAAATAGCGGAGAGACTGTTGTCCATAGATATTCGCAATTGCATATGCGTTGCCTATCTTTAATCGATGGAGGAGAGGATGTACAGAAATAAAAAATATTTTCCCCTTCCATGCATCGTCTCATCCGGAAAGTCCACTTTCACTTTTTTTTTTGTGCTAACGAGCGCGTCTCGCCGCTAAGCATTACAGCTTGGCGAGATAAAATTTTTTGTTAAATCTTTTGAACGAAAAATAAATAATTAAAAAAAAACTTCCCATCCTTTCCTTATAATAAAAAGGGCGGGAAGGGAAAGAGGACTAAATTAGGCCTTTGGGACGTCTTCTTTGTGGTCGAGGTATTTCACCGGGCGAGCCGGGCCAATTCGTGAGAAGATGTTAAAGCGAGCTCTACCACAAAATGTAAAAGTAGTGTTGTATTAATGTAAATGATGTGTATGCGCAGGCCGATCTACCGCAGCAACACGTGTGGAGATGTGGCGGGCGGGATGTACCGGCCTCTCGCCGCGGCCAGCCCCGCCCCCGTGCCCCACGGTAACCGCCAAGTTCCCTCTCCATATCGTTTATTGACGCACGCGTTACGTAAGGCGTAAGGTTATAATGTCGATGTGATGTTTATGTCGTGCAGCGCCGGAGCGACTCAGGAAGCGCGCCAGTCTGAAACTGGTGCGCGCGCGCGAGCGGGACCATAAGGTGGAGCGGGGCGGCGGACGCGCGGACTCGCTGCCCTCGCCTTCGCCTTCGCCTTCGCCCGGCGACGCCCTCGGCCCCGCCTCCGCCGGCGGACCGGCGCCGCCCACTCTGGTCTTTTGTACTTAATGTTTCTCGCTCGCATGCTCCACCGCCGCGAGGGGCAACACCGAGCGATCGTCTGTGGTGTGCGCAGGTGGAGTCATGCAGCCGCTTCATGTCGCTCAGCTCGCGGCTCAAGTGTAGCGCGGGGATCGCAAGCGGCGAGGCGGACGCGGCGGAGGGCGTGGTGGCGCGCGGGCCCGCCCTCCCTCAGCTGCCGGCCAGCCGCGTCAGCTTCCACAGCACCTTCAGCATGCTCATCAACATGGGCAACGTGGACAAGGGCTGCAAGCGCACGGTCTCTATCTATGTCATATTTTGTGCCTTCAATGTGTCGTACACATTGCGACCCGCGTTGAGTCATTCTCCTCCTGAGCGACGGGGTTAAAGAGATACGCTGGGGTCGCAGGTTAGCCGCGAGGAGCAGGTGTGGCAGAACGAGCTGAAGGACCTGATCTGGCTGGCGCTGCGCGCGCGGCTGGCGGGCCGCAGCCTGGCGCAGCAGGACGCCTTCCTGTGCGCGCAGCGGCGCTCCGTGCCCGCCCTCCTGCAGACTCTGCTCGACTACAGGTCGTACCTCGCCCATACAAATCTACTTCCTATGGTTTCGTATAACTTTTACAAATAACAAATTTCATCAGGGTTATTGAAACAGAGCGTACTTTGCGTATTGCAGATTTGTGAACCCGTACCCGTGCCCGGGCGCTGCGGAGGCGGAGGTGGAGGCGGAGGCGGAGGTGGATGCGGAGGCGGAGGCGGGCGGGCGAGGGCAGACGTGCCTGTCGGCGGAGTGCGGGCGATGCGTGGCGGGCGTGGGGCGCTGCATGCGCGAGGTGCGCGCGCTGCTGGAGGCGGTGGAGGCGGCGGAGGCGCTGTACCCCTCGGGCTGCGCCGCGGAGGCCGACCAGCCCGAGCTCGCGCGCCCCGCGCTCAAGCACAGGATCCGGGTGAGCTCGACACACACCTCTGACAAATGTAGAACGATACCGACCTCCTAGCGTAGATGAAGAAGATGAGATGTAAGATGCTGACGGCGGTGTGTGAGTGTGTGTCTGTGTGTGTGGCAGGCGATGTGCCTGTGGTACAACACGGCGCTGCACATGCGCCTCAAGCTGGTGTCTCTGCGGCGCATGGTGCGCGAGCGCCGCGCCCGTCCAGCCCTCCGCCACCTCGCCTCCTCCGACTCCTCCAGCGACTACTCCAGGTATATGTACCGATCATTTCCTCACAACTTGGGAGATTTTTCCTTCTAAATGTATATATATATCCTGATGAAATATAATATGAATGGTACGAAAATTCCTATATGAAATGAATAACTGAGTGATTTCGTAGCACATTTTAAAGGTGCAGTGTTGCATGTCTTGCCTTTGCCGTGTACTACATCAGGCATTGTGTGTAACATCAGCAGGAAGTCGTCAGTGTCGCGTCAGGCGACGCAGGTGCGCTTCAATGTGAGCGGCGCTCCCTCCACCTCCCCCACCGACTCCAGCGGCAGCGACCTCAGCGCGCACTCGGACCCCGCGCCCGCCCCGCACGCGCCGCACGCCCCGCACGCGCCGCACGCGCCGCACGCGCCGCACGCCCCGCACAGCCGCGAGCACGGCGACGTGCTGGACAGCGGCATCGACAGCAGATCCGGTGACATTCTTCTTTCATTCGCATTTTATTTCACATTATAACAGTCGCGACACAGATCCATCCATCTCACAAACATTTACCAACTGTTAGTTGTTGCCGACCAACTTGTTTTCGCCGCTTATGGCAACTCTTTTATTGGTTTCAGAGAACTTTGGAGACACGACACCTGAGATCATAATCTCCGGCAGCGCGAGTCCGGCGGGCGAGGTGGGGGGCGCGGGGGACGCCGAGCTGGACGATGACCCGCTGCGACTGGGCTCGCTGCACGAGCTGACACAGCTGCGGCTGCTCGGCAAGGCCAGCGTACCCCCCTACAGGTCGGTCCGCGCGTGCACGCCCCGCACCGGCCGCATCGGGGTCCGAGTTAACCGTCCGATATTTCGCTTCGCAGAGAGTACCACCACGAGCTGCTGAAGACGCAGGGGGTGCGGCGCTGCATGGCTTTCATCCACAAGATTAGCTACCACATGTTGCAGAAGGTGTACCTCACGCTGCTCGAGCCCGAGGTACGCGACTCGCCTCGCCTCGCCTCCAGTCATCCTGGCCAGTGATTCAGGAATCTAGAGGGGAAAATATACGAACGTGATTTTTATTT